TCCTGTCTGGGCATAATTCTCCAGTTGCCCTTTGATTGACGGTTGCATTTAGCTGTTACCATTACAAGGGCAAAGTGAAGAGTAGGGAGGCTTTTATTGCTTTTAGATTTGTAAGTATACTCAGGCAGATAGACTACTGGTTTTATGTTTCTAGGCTTTTACCCAAGGCGCTGGATAGGATTAATATGCTTCTTGTAGTGAATTTATTTGGATAACTGCAGTTAGGATGCTGGGGCTGGAAAGGATTTGTCAACTTTCATAATGTGTTCCCATCCTCTCCTTCCTTTACTTACTTAACTGCCAGTTTGCCTGCCCCGACTACATTTTGGCCAGTCAATTTTGCAATGACTGTTCGAATTGGTAATCTATTGGCATTTGCTAATTGCCAATCATTTGTCTCAAGCAACTTTTTTGCTGTCTTCACCGATTAGACTGGTGTTGAACCTCTTGCAGACAATGAGTATGTACACTACTGCCCATTTTGTTAGACATTTGGGTGTCAGTTTTGCATTTACAAAACAATGGCAGTGCTATTGAACTTCGAGACAGTCATTTCTGAACTAAATCACCCGTGTGTTATTAATTGCCTTGAATTGCTGTCAGATTTTTGTGTGCACTTTGATAAAACCGATGATAGAACATAGAACATAGAACAGCACAGCACAGTACAGGCCCTTCGACCCATGATGTTGTGCCAAACTTTTACCCTAATCCTAAGGTCTATCTAACCTCCACCCCTACCTTATACTATTATCCATATGCTTATCTAATAGCTGCTTAAATGCCCCTAATGAGGCCGACTCCACTACTTTCTCCGGCAATTCATTCCACGTCCCGAACCACTCTCAGAGCAAAGAACCTACCTCTGATGCCTCCCCTATATCTACCTCCACTTACTTTAAAACTATGCCCCCTCGTAATAGCTACCTCCACCCTAGGAACAAGTCTCTGGCTGTCCACTCTATCTATACCTCTGATCATTTTGTACACCTCTATCAAGTCACCTCTCTTCCTTTGTCGTTCTAAAGAGAAAAGCCCTAGCTCTCTCAATCTTTCCTCGTAAGACCTTCCCTCCATTCCAGGCAACATCCTGGTAAATCTCCGCTGCACCTTTTCCAACACTTCCACATCTTTCCTGTAATGAGGCGATCAGAGCTGGACACAATACTCCTGATGTGGCAGAACCAGGCTTTTGTATAGCTGGAGCATAACTTCACGGCTCTTGAACTCAATCCCTATACTAATGAAAGCTAACGCACCATATGCCTTCTTAACAATTCTATCCACCTCTATTCACTTGATAATTCAAGTCTAATTTCACAGGAAGTTTGTACAACCACATAAAAAGGCATGCCACTCTGGACTGGATTTGTGTAGCATTGTACAACCAACAAAACTTCCTATTCTTCAAAATAAAACTCACTTCAGATTCAAATTAAGAATGGCTCGTTCTAAAGGCAAATGAAGTGGCTCATTAATATTGTAGACATTCTTCAGGCCATTCTCCTTGAAGTTAAGATAACAATGTGGAAAAGTCATCACCAACATAATGGATGACTAAGCAGCAAATTGGAAGGAAGTATGAAGTGCAGACTCTGCAGGAAGAAGTCAAAGCATTTACTGGATCAGTATATTTTGTTGATAGGCCAATCACAGTGGTGATGCAGCAAGTTGATAAAGGAAATACAGAAATAACTTACCTTCACAAGACACTTACTACAGTGCAAATTGCATTACGGAAAGTTGAGTACTTTGGACTGCAGTCAATATTGTAATGTAAGAAATAAGATAGTAAATTTGTGCACAGAAGGATCCCACAGTCATTAATGAATAGCCAAATAAAAGTATAACAGGAGGAATAAATTCTTTCAGAGATAGTAGGAACTGCAGATGCTGGAGAATCTGAGATAACAAGGTGTAGAGCTGGATGAACACAGCAGGCCAAGCAGCATCAGAGGAGCAGGAAGGCTGACTTTTCGGGCCTGGACAATTCTTCAGAAATGGGGTAACTTCTTCAGGGTAGGCATCCTTAGAAGAGGCTTTGCAGTGGGTTTAAAATTGTTTCAGAGATAGTAGGAATAGTAGAAATTTCTGAAGAAAGGTCTAGGCCCAAAACGTCAGCCTTCCTGCTCCTCTGATGCTGCTTGGCCTGCTGTGTTCATCCAGCTCTACACCTTGTTATCTCGAATAAATTCTTTGTTCTTTTAAGCCTGCTCACCATTCAGTAAGATCAGAGCAACTTAAAAATGTCACCTGGGTCATTTGCTCCAGTCTCCTGAAACCATAAATTCCTGCATCAGATGAAAATGAGCAACAGCTGATACTATCAAAGAGCTGCTATTTGGGCTTCATGATCAGTAATTATTTGATTTCTTCTTCTTATATCTACATATTTGAAACAGAGATCCTTGAAATATTGAAGATACTCTTAGGATGGTGTTAGCAAGAAATTTCCAGAATTTTCACCCACTATCAATGGAATCAATGAAATGCAGCCAAATCATAATGGCGTGAATCAAATAAAAGACAAATTGGTTAGACTTTTCTCTAGTTAGAGGTGACCATTGCTTGGCATTTGCATAGCATAAATGTTGCTTGCTCCTATCTAGTCAAATTGCCCAGATCTTGCTGCTTGCTGAAATGTTTCATTATCTGAAGCATGGCAAATGGAACTGAACACTTTTTAGTCACAATCAAAAGCCCAGTATCTGCCCTAATGATGGAACAGACATTATGAATAAAGGAGCTGATTCTTAGACCTGAGGGTCTTTTGGAATGATGAACTTAGGCTGAACTAAATGGCCTTTAGTGATCACAATTTTCTTCCTTCCATGCCAGATATATCTACAGTAATTGGAGAGTTTCTTCTTTCATCCACACCGACAATAATTTTTCTGAGGCTCCTTAGCGTTGCATTTGTTTGAATGTTAACTTGATGGCAAGGACTTCATCAGAATAGCACATAGATTTCACAAACATATGGCATGGCTTTCAAAATACTCTTTTAAATCCTTCATTAACATCCAGTTTGATGATAATTAAGGAATGATGGATAGTCAGGACATAATGTTAAGGATTGTGGTAAAATATAATTTTATTGTTACTGTTAACCTATGTGGCATCAAGGATGGCCATTTAGAACTCTGTTATTAATCTATCTCACTTAGTACTGATGTGCTACACAAAATGCCAGAGGGTATCTTCAGTGAGGACTGTGCTGTCATTGCTCCCAATATCATCAAGAATTGATGTATCTATGACAGCTAGAACATCGTGGCAAGGTCAATTAACATTACCAGCTTACTCAAAATGCCTAAAAAAAGCATCTCTTTAAAACACAAGTAACACTATCAGTTTTTCACTGAGATCATCTGTGTCTATGCACTGATTATGACCAACGAAAGTATGATGATAAAAAGAATTCTACAGCAGCCAATAGGATGCTATTACTAACATTATCAGAATGAAATACATTATTACTTTGCAGGCCTTGATTGTAATCACACCTGAAATGAAGCAAGTACTCTCAACCACAACGGTAAGATAGACAGTCAGATAATTCAGCTGTTTAGCAAATACCTAGAACATAAACTTGTCATCACAAATAAAATCAACCTTTAAGTATAAGATGTATTGGATATTTCATTGCTTGAAGCATTAGCATCCAACTGATTGAGTCATAATTTAGCAATAAGATCAATAGGTTGACCAATCACTATGGTTCTATGTGGTGTTGAGACCGAAATTGTGTGATTAAACTCTAAATTCTTATGCCTATATTAGGTCCATCAAGGTCAAGTGTCTTGAACAAAATTCAATTTGTGTTACCACATCATTTCAGCATTAGCCACTGCTAAAATGCACAAAATGTAGAGGCTGAGTGGATGTGGCCTCCCTTACATCAGGAAGCGGAGACTCGGAAACCGATTCGTGGAGCATCTGCGCTCTGTATGCAATAATCAACAACACCTTACGGTCGCGAACTATTTTAACTCCCCCTCCCACTCCCTGGGTGATACGTCCATCCTGGGCCTCCTCCAGTGCCACAATGATGCCACCCGCAACCTGGGGGAACAGCACCTCATATTCCGCCTCGGGATCCTACAGCCTGATGGCCTGAACATAGAATTCACTAGCTTTATAATCTCCCCACCACCCGGCCTCATCCCACATCTAACTCTCCCTCTCATCCCCGCCTCCTTGGACTGACACAACCTGTCCATCTTCTTCCCCACCTATCCACTCCACTCTTTCCACTGACCAATCCCTACTACCCCCAAACTGCATCCACTTTTGAACATTGAAATTGGAGTCCTCTGACATAACAAAGACCCACTTTCCATTTTTGGCCACCATCCCACCTCCCTTCCCCTAGCCCCACTCCTCCTCTCTCAATTTATTTCCCAGCTCCCTTTCCCCTCCTCAGTTCTGATCAAGTGTCCCGACACGAAACGTCGACATTCCTGTTCCTTGAAGGCTGCCTGGCCTGCTGTGTTCCTCCAGCTCCACACTGTGTTGATCTTAGAGGACACTATGCGGGGATGCAGAAGCCTTTATTAAGAAATGGTAGTAGAATCAAGTTGCCAAAAAAAATGAAGAAATAGCTCACCAATCTGTAAGTCATGTAATTCAAGTGGTGAAAAAATAAAGCTGTCAGTTATAGTTTTGAACCAAACAATTGATTTAACAATCCTTTTTTGGTGAGCTTATTGTCCATTGAACATTCACAGTTCAGGCTTAGGACAATTCTGGCCAAAAATGGAAAGTGAGTCCTTGTTATGTCAGAGGATTCCAATTTCAATGTTCAAAAGGGTCTGGAATCTAAAACAGATTGGCATTTTCAACACTTGGTAGTAGGTCCCCTTTAAAATGGAGATAATATTATGTCAGTGGTGTTAATGGGAGTAAGGCTACAGATCTGTACTTTGAGACTATGAGTACCAGATAATTACAGTAAAAATTGCCACCCAACATGCTGCAGTTCAACTAAAACAGATATATTATGCATATCCAAAAGAGGAACTTTATTTTCAATTGAAATGTGGCAAACAAATGTCAATGCTCATAACAGCAAAATAGCTTGACTGGGCAAAACACATTCAGCAGATCACAAGTTTGTTTCCAACAGTAAGCTAAAGTGAGACAGGTGCTTTCTGGATGTCCAGATGAAGAACTTTAAGAACTTTATTGCCACAAGTAGCAGCAACATGAATGACTGGGAGATACTTGAAAGATTGATCAAGGTAGCATTCAAAAATATGATGTAACTTCCATTATCTTCAACTAAAATACTTTGCTTTCTTTTTCTTAGCTGCCATTAATTCCCAAAAATTTCTGCTTCTGTGACTGAAAAATGAGAAGAACATTGATTGACATGCACACGTTACAGATCTGATTGGAGTTAATCTCTGTTATGCAGCTAGTGAGCAAATAGATTTTCCAGCTGACCAAAATACAAGAAGTTACTCAGAATAACAATACAACGCAATACAATATTGAGCTCAGGAATAGGAAGAGTGCAATCATACTGCTGAGATTGTACTACAGACCTCCCAGCTGTGAGCGGGAGATATAGAAAGAGATATAAAGTCAGATTCTGGTAAGATGTGAAAATAATAGGGTTGTTGTGGTCGGTGATTTTGACTTCCCTCATTTGACTGGGATTCCCTTAGAGCCAGGGGTTTGGATGGGCAGCAATTTGTTAGGTGTGTCCATGGGGATTTTTTGATACAGTAAGTGGATAATACGATGAGAGAGGGGAGATTATAATGGACCTGATATTGGAAAACAAGCCTATCCAGGAGATCAAAGTTTCAGTGGTGGAGTATGTTGTGAATAGTGACCATAATTCCGTAAGTTTTTGGATGCCCATGATTAAGGACAAGAGTGGACCTCAGATGAAGGTGTTAAATTGGTAGAAGGCCAACTATAAGTGAATTAAAGAAGAATTAGAGAATGTGGATTGGGAGCAGCTGTTTGAGGATAAATCCACATCTGACATGTGGGAGTCTTTTAAGGACCAATTGATTTGAGCGCAGGATAGACATGTTCCCATGAAAATGAAGGACAAGAATGTCAAGATTTGGGAACCCTGGATGGCCGGTGAGATTATTAGCTTAGTTGAAAAAAAGAGAGCATACTCACGGTCTAGGCAACTACAAATAGATAAAGTCCTTGAAGAATATAGAGAAAGTAGGAAGGAGCTCAAATGAGGATTTAGGAGGGCTAAAATGGGATTTAAATGCCTTGGCCAGCAGGCTTACGGAGAACCCCAAACCATTTTATATATATAGTAGGAGCAAGAGGGTAGCTTGGGAAAGAGTAGGCCCACTGAAGGAGAAAGGAGGGAGGTTATGTGCGTGGAGCCAGAGGAAATGGGTAAGATCTGTAATGAATACTTCACATTGGTATTCACCAAAGAGAGGGATGTGAGGAATATTGAGATTAGGGAAAGGCGTGTGACTACTCTTGGGCAGTTCATAAGAATGAAGGAGGAAGTGCTGGGTGCTTTGAAAGGCATTACGTTAAACAAATCCCCAGAGTCAAATGGGATCTGTACCAGGATAGGGGGGTGGGGGGGGGGGGGGGGGGGGGGGGCGCGGGCGCGGGAAATGGCTAGATTATTAACAGATATCTTTGCATCCACTTTGACCTCAGATGAGGTTCCAGAAGACTCCTAATTGGACAATGACCAATTTTGTTCCTTTGTTTAAGAAGGGAAACTGAGACAATCTGGCCATTGGGCCTGACGTCAATGGTTGGGGAAGCTGTTGGAGAAGATACTGAGGGACATTTGGAAGTGAATAGACTTGTTAGTGATAAGCAGCATGGGTCTGTGTGGGGAAGGTCATGTCTCACAAATTGATTGAGTTTTTTGAGGAGGTGACAAGAATGATTGATACGTGGATGTTGTCTACATGGATTTTGGTAAGGCATTTGATTGGGTACCTCATGGCAAGCTGGTACAGAAAGTAGAGTCTCATGGGATCCGAGTTGGGCTGGCTGAATGGATACTAGGCAAGAGTTGCAGTGGAAGAGTACTTTTCGGAATGGAGATCAATAACTAGTGGTGTTCTGCAGGGATCAATGTTGGGGTCTTTTTTGTTTATAATATATATAAATAATCTGGAGGAAAATGTAAGTGGTCTGATTTGTAAGGTTGCAGATGACATCAAAATTGGTGGAGCTGCAGGATAAAGATAGATTGCAGATTTAGGCAGAGAAATGGCAGATGGAACTTAATGCAGACAAATGCGAGGTGATGCGTTTTGGAAGCTCAAATTCAGGTATGAATTATACAATAAATGGCAGAAGCCTTAGGAGCATTGGCATACAGAGAAATCTGGGCATACAGGTCCACAAAGCCCTGAAAGTGGTAACACACATGGATAAGGTGGTCAGGAAGGCTCTGGTGATTGTAACAAAGTCAGCCAGGTGGATCTCATAGAATATGAGTTCCCTGATTGAGGCTATTAATCTGGTCCAATCAGAGAATCCTGGCTGACAGATATAAATAGGCGTGTCACAGGTTCTGCTCACTTTGAGAGGTGGCTCTGAGGATGCTGGATCAGTGTCAACGACTTTCCACGTGTAAATAAATGGTGACTTGGTGACTAGATATCGGCCACTGTGGAGTTATTTCTAAGGCATACAGCATGCTTGCCTTCATCGCCAGGGCATCAAATATAAAAGTTGGCAAGTTATGTTACAGCTTTAGTTAGGCCACATTTGGAATATTGCATGCAGTTCTGGTTACCACACTACCAGTAAGATGTGGATGCTTTGCAGAAGGGGCAGAGAAGGTTTACCAGGATGTTAAAAACAAAAGTTGCTGGAAAAGCTCAGTAGGTCTGGCAGCATCTGTGAAGAAAAAGTCAGAGTTAATGTTTCAGGTCCGGTGACCCTTCCTCAGAACTCCTGATTTTATTCCTGATTTCCAGCATCTGCAGTTCTATCAGTTTTTATTTACCAGGATGTTGCCTGATCTGGAGTGTTTTAGGTATCAGGAGAGGTTGAATGCACTCAGATTGTTTTCACTGGAAAAACGGAGGCTGAGGGGCAACCTGATAGTGGCCTATGAAATTATGAGATGCATAGATAAAGTGGACAGTGAGAGGCTTTTTCCCAGGGTGCAAAGATCAACTACAAGAGGGCACAGGTTCAAGTTGTGAAAGGAAAAGTTTAGGGGAAAAGTGCAGGGAAGGTTTTTCACACAGAGGGTAGTGGGTTCCTGGAACCCACTGCCAGTGGAGGTGGTGGAAGCAGGCATATTAGTAATGTTTAAGGCGCATCTTGATAGACACATGAATGTGGGGCGAACAGAAGGATAGATACCATGCTGGGGCAAGATGTACCGGGTCTAAGTAGGGCCTGTTTTTGTGCTGTATTTTATTTTATATTGTTTATTGTAATGCACTTTCAATTACAACAGCCATTTCTAAATTTATAGTGGAGATTTTCCAGGATTTCTGTTCAGATGCCCACTCTGACTCATATCCCATTCATTGATGTTCTAGGTGCTCATGCAATTCCATATATCTGCATGCAAGGAAATCTCTCTTATGTGCCTAATCCATCATATTGACAAAGAAACATCCAGAATGACTATAATTCAAATAATCAGAAAAATGTTTGAAGTGTATCATTCAGTGAGAGAGAATGCACAACTTCCTTTTAAATTCTATGATGGCTAGTTGGAAGATGTATTGAAAAATTGTGCATTGAACAGCATGATTAGATATGAGTGCCAGGATACTACTTAAGGGCCAATTGGGAACAGAAACCCAGTTGGAGATTACATTATGTTCCTTCGTTCTTCAAAGCAGCAAGCCTCTAAATGCTTTTATGAATATAAATCAAAAATGGAAGTTTCACTGAAATGATTGCTCCACAGTCATTGTAGGCATTTATCAACCACTTTGGCTTTAAAGAAGTTCTCTGTGCTGTAGCTCATCCCAATCCAGTGAGGGGGTAGTTTGCATATCTGGGTTGGCCACATTGTGTGTGCAAGACTACATCAACTGCAGTGACTTGCTATTTCAAAAAACGCGAATAACTAGGTTGCCTAGGGAAAGTAATTATTCCTCCACCAGCAACCTCAGCCACACCCCAGACTTAGGATGGTTACAATGCAGAAAGACACCATTCGGCTGTTATGTTTATGATGGGTCCAACAGGAGCGAATCATCTGGTGCCATTTCCTGACCTTTTTTTTATAAACCTGTATAGTTTCCCTTACTTTTTGAAGGCCTCAACTGACCTTGTGTCCACCACACACTCACAGCAGTACTTTCCAGGTCCTATCCATTTGTCTGAAGAAATAACTTTTTCATCATGTCATTACCACTTCCGTTATGAGCTTAAATCGGTGTCCTTTACCAATCAGAGTCCACTTTCCAAGCATCAGCACCCTTTTTGTAAGCAGGATAAATTGTTGTTCCCTTTGAGATTTGGTATTCCTGCAATTCTGTGCTGTTGCGTGAAAAATGAAAAGCACATCTTGTGTTTCAGCAATCCCCAAGCTCTGAATTGCCAAGTGACTTAACTTATATTTACTTGAACAATTTAATGATGTGATTGAAGCCTTTTGGACTTTGATAAGGGTAAAATTGCATTGTTTAAAGATCACGAGAACATGAGATCATTAGAAATATGTGCAGCAGTGAGCCATGTTGTTTTTCTCACCTTCTTTGTCATGAAACAAGATAATGGTGGATCTGACTGTGGTCTTAACTCCACTTTCTTGCCTTACCCCCAAACCCCTTCCAGTCAGCTTTCTAAACTTAGTTTTAAGATGCTTTGTAATGAGCTGAATTGGTTTTCTTGCCCATGGAAATGGGGAGCCTATAAAAATCTGAATCCACTTTGTTAGAATGGGCTCAAGAAACCAGTTCAACAACTAACCTTGTGATTTTTAGGCCCCTCCACCTTCATTTCTGACATCAGTGGGGCTCAAAGATTCATCTCCTAGATTCAGTTTGTCCTTGACCTCTATAAAACCAATGCAATAGTTTAGTCAGAAAGGAATGAAACTATACACTAACACATTTTTACTGTTATGACAAATAGTTCAATCCACGATACATCGACATTTTGAAACCTTAACTGTTAGAGCATAAGTAGAAAGATTGGAGAACTGCTTGAGAAGCACAGAAATCTCCAATATCTGATCTTTATTTGAATGGCAATGTAGTTCTGCAGCCTCAGTGTGTCAGTGTCTCTCTGCTGACCAAATCACATTGTTCTGGTAACTTAGTTTGTTGCTGACTCACATGCTTTTGTATTAAGTTGGTGAACTACTTGACTGCTGGCTGATGTATTATCACATATAATTAGCAAGTCACTTACTTATTGACTGACACAATAGTCGAGAGACTGGTCAGTTAATACTTGTACCCTTGGACTAGCTGATGATTGCTTTTTGGAATAAATTTCTGAAAGAGCAGTCACTCAAGTTCTTTATGCCTCTTTTATTGCTATATCGCATAATTTCTTCACCCTCTCACTCCAGACGTTTTCAGGACTTGAATGGAATTTGCAATCGTATCCACCCTGCTTATGCAAGAGCTAGCAATTTTGTTCAGATGGAGAATCTTTCTATTTTCCTTGACTTTGTTTTCTCATACTCAACTAAAACACTGGTGATACCCAAGGAGAGTACTTTCATGATCAAGGAGAATCAATTTAGAATTACAGGAATACATGAGTACAGCGAAAAGTGTAAAAGTCACCATTTCCAGTGCCATCTTGGGTGCAACGATACCTAGATACAAAATCTTAGCTATAAATAAAAAAAAAGAAGAAATAAAGTTAAAAGATCAATATTACAGTCCTTATAAATCTAGATAAAATAGTAGATAGGCTGGAGAATGAGGGAACAGTATGGAAACGAGGTAAAAAGTACATCTTCAAAATACATTAATTGTTAAATTCATAGAAAATAACTTTTAAAGACTGAAAAATGGCATTAAATGGGGCTTCAGTATTACTATTATGAATCCATATTCACGTCAATGAGTGCCTAGGTATCAAACTGTCACAGGAATTGAAATTCTGTGGAGGGTTTGGGAATGAGATTGGTCTTCGCAAATAGCATGAAGTCCAATCAGCAAATCAGCAACTAATTTTGGATCATGCTCCATGGAAAAGGATATTGGTTGTATGGGAAAATAGGTAGCTGCTTCACCTTGTCTGTGTATTACACTATTTTGGAAGATCAATTTCATCCCCAGAACGTTTGCCCACAATCAGGGACATATTCCAATGATGTACCCAAATAAGGAACATCCATAGAAACGCTGAAGCAGCATGTAAATAGCATATGTTCCATTTCCCTGCACCTACCTGCACCACTCCCACATCTCCACCCACCAACCAAATAACTAATCAAATCATAGAAAAGGTAGCAGAGAAAACCAGGGGGGAAATCAAAAGCCGAACATAAGTGATCAATGAAGATATGGTAATGCCATGTAAGGGCAGCACTTCTAGGAAAACCCCAAATCTCTTAACCCTTACAAGGTTGGACCCTTCAACAAAGATACACAAGTGGTAGCAGTGGACACACCAAATGTACACAACTATAGTGCTGGTCATGAGTTCAATCTCAGTTGACAAACTTGAGTCACATGCATGCCCACCTCCATATCTGATCCAAGAAAACAAATTTTCAAATCACAGTTATCAGACCTGGATGAGAACCTGAAGAGCTACCTGAACTCAAGTACAGACAGAACAATTATACTCCACAATCTGTACCCAAACCATTGATGGGATACAGTACAGATCTCTTCAAATTGTTTGATTTCATTTTGAAAAGAAAAATCTTTAAACATCTCACTGAAACTATATCCACTGTTGGACATGTGATGGTGCTGTCTGTTCACTGATGTAGCGTAGTCAGCACTGTACTGAAACAGAGACGTTGTAAATGCTGTACTATTTCACAATGCCTACCTATATATGCTTCCTAAATGCTCTCAGTGAAAATATTTATCCTTAATGAATGAAATTGCAACACATTATTGTACAGCAATGTGTTATTTTAAAATAATGGTATAACTGATAGTTAAATTTCACAGCTTTAGAAAGGGTTGGATAATTCTGGAGAACGGGCAGCAGGACAAACTCTATCCTCACTCAACCTCCGTAACATACAAAATAAAAACTGAAAGAGCTGTGAATGGTGTAAATCAGAAACTAAAATAGAGATTGCTGGAAAAGCTCAGCAGGTCTGGCAGTATCTGTGAAGAGAAATCAGAGTTAACATTCCAGTGACCCTTCCTTACTGAAGTCCTGATGAAACTGGACCTGAAACATTAACTCTAATTTCACTTCACAGCTGCTGCCAGACATGCTGAGCTTTTCCAGCAATCTCTATTTTTGTTTCCATAACATACAAGTTCCATCAGAGACTATCAGGAAAAGAACAATGGACCAAAAGGCACTGAGGTCGCTGATAACAACTTCCCAAATTGTCTGGGCTGGAATCTGCCAATATAGCATTAAACAGAGAATAAATCTGGAATCCTCTTGTATATCTATAATGGAGAACCCAACATGGCTTTGTGCATGGGAAATCATGTCTCACTAACTTGATTACGTTTTTTGAAGAAGTAACAAAGAACATTGATGAGGTCAGAGTAATGGATGTGATCTATTTGGATTTCAGTAAGGCATTCAACAAGGTTCCTCATATTAGACTGGTTAGCAAGGTTAGATCACACAGAATTCAGGGAGATCTAGATATTTGGATACGGAACTAGCTTGAAGGTAGGAGACAGAGGGTGGTGGTAGAGGTTGCTTTTCAGACTGGAGGCCTGTGGCTAACAGTGTGGCACAAGGACCGGTGCTGGGTCCACTGCTTTTTGTCATTTATATAAATGATTTGGATGTGAACATAGGAGGTATAATTGATAAGTTTGCGGATGATACCAAAATTGGAGATGTAGTGGACAGCGAAGAAGGTTACCTCAGAGTACAACAGGATCTTGATCAGATGGGCCAATGGGCCAAAGAGTGGCAGAGGGACTTTAATTTATATAAATGTGATGTGCTGCATTTTGGAAAGGCAAATCAGGGCAGGATCTATATACGTATTTGGTAAGGTCCTGGGGAGTGTTGCTGAACAAAGAGGCCTTGTAGTGCAAGTTCATAGGTCCTTGAAAGTAGAGTCGCAAGTAGACAGGATAATGCGGAAGGTGTTTTGTAAGCTTGCCTTTATTGGTCACTACATTGAGTACAGGAGTTGGGAGGTCATGTTGCAGCTGTACAGGACATTCTGAGTTCTGAGGAAGGGTAACTGGACCTGAAATGTTAATTCTGTTTTCTCCTTCACAGATGCTGCTAGACCTGCTGAGCTTGTCCAGCAACTTTGTTTTTGTTCCTGATTTACAGCATCCGCAGTTCTTTTGGTTTTTGTACAGGACATTGGTTAGGCCACTTTTGGAACACAGAGAGCAATTCTGGTCTCCCTTCTATAGGAAGGATGTTGTGAAATTTGAACGGGTTCAGACAAGATTTACAATCATGTTGCCAGGTTTGGAATGTTTGAGCTATAAGGAGAGGTTGAATAGGCTGGGGTTATTTTCCCTGGAGCATTGGAGGCTGAGGAGTGACCTTATAGAGGTTTATAAAATCATGAGGGGCATGGATAGGGTAAAATGGCAAAGTCTTTCCCCCAGGGTGGGGTGTTCAAAACTAGAGGTTAAAGGTGAGAGAAGAAAGATTTAAAAAGGGACCTAAGGGACAACTTTTTCACGCAGAGGGTGGTACACATATGGAATGAGCTGCCAGAGGAAGTGGTGGAGGCTGGTAAAATTATAACATTTAAAAGGCATCTGGATGGATATATGAATAGGAAGAGTTTAGAGGGGTATGGGCCAAATGCTGGCAAATGGGACTTGATTAATTTAGGATATCTGGTTGGCTTGAATGCATTGGTCTGAATCATCTGTTTCCATGCCATACAACACTATGACTCTATGACTCTAATTGTGGAAAAAGGTGGAAAGACTACCACGTGAATCTGCTAGTGTTGTGTAATATTTCCATAATGGGGTAAGGCTAGGGAATGAAATTGATTTTTCCAAGTAATATGAAATGCATTCTTAGTAAACTGTTAGCTAATTCTAGACTTGGAGGGCCGAAGGGCCTGTTCCTGTGCTGTAATTTTCTTTGTTCTTTGTTCTTTGTAGACCTCACTCCTTGGAAAAAGAAATTGAGTGCACTTAAAAACGTGTGGCTGCTTCATTAAGACTGTATTTCATGCCATTTCAGAAGATTAATTTCATCCATAGAATAAGTCCCCATGTGATTTTACTTATAAAGATGCAAATGCCAACAATGTGATGTTAACAGTAGTGCCACAACCCTTACCTTTTGAAACCCAGGTTATTTTAACTCCTGGATCTTATTCACATTCTGTCAGAAAGCAAGAAAGAAAAAACTTTGATTTCTTTTTCACCCTTCATGACATTTTCAAAATGTTTCAAAATATTTTACAATTAAGTACTTTTGCATTTATGTAGGGAAACAAAGCAAAAAAAACTTGAGCGAAGCAAATTTTCATTAACAGCATTTGAAAATTACCCGACAACCTGTGATGGTAGTTGAAGGATAAATATTTGCCAGGACCTTAGAGAGAGTTACCCTGTTCAGCCTTAAAAAGTGTCATGGGACCTTTTATAACCATCGGTGAGGTCAAATGGGGTCTCAGTTTAACATTTCATCCAAAAGACCTCTGACAATGCAGCACTTTTTCAGCACTGGACTGAAATACTAGACTAGATTATGCGCTTAAGTGTTAGAATAGGCTTTGGGCTCATAATTTAGCACTTCAGAGGTGAAATCCACATGACCCAGTTTTGATCACTGACAAAAATGTAAGATGTGATATGGAGCTACCAACAGGGACTTGCAGGTGAGAAAGTGGGTGGAGCCCAGACAGTAGAAGCTGAAAGTTTCCTTGTTGATTCTTGTCCCTCTGGGCCCCACTAAAAAATGTTTAACACTGTTACCTTTTTGGGGCCTCTTCAGTCTATGCAGCAGCTTTCCCTTAGCGTGATAGTTGCGTCAAGCATTAAAAGCATTTGTGATCGATACGTCTTAGTGAGATCTAATTGCTACAACCTATTTTTTGAAAGAAAGCAATGTATTTATACTAACATTGGAATTATCATTTGCTACATCTGGTGTCAAGTCAATGGGGAGTAAAATGTCTACTTAGCATGGCTTGGAATGCCCACTCTGCCCACTCTCTGCATGCTAATATGTTTACACTTTTTACTTCTATTGCTTAAAATAATATTCACATTTCAGACAGGAATCTATTTACTTCTAACAAAACTGGCACGAAAGCTGTTACCATCCACTCAAAGGAACATCACAACCCTGGGTTATATCCAGTGTTAGAAAATTTCAGACTCTCAATTTCTTTTTAATGAAGCTTATGTGTGAGGCAGATAAAACAGTGACAATGACAGTTGAGATTTATATGCACAAGAAAACAAAGCTTCCTACATTGCATCTTGCTTTGCAAAGATTTTATTTGCTAGCTTAACAATTCATTTTACATGACAAGCCCCAGGTTTTCCTTTATGTTGAGTGTCATCCAAATGAAAATTTTGCATTTCTGTTATGACTGTTTTTCCTCGCTACAGTAAAAATAAGGCCTATTTAAAATACAATGGATAGCAGCCTGACAGAACTGCAGCCTGGTGCAATCCAGCTGTTGCTTGGTTTTTCTGCAGGGGTTTTATATATATCACGTAAAAAAGTTGAATCCTCACAACACATATTATATCTAACAGGAAAATAAATACTACCACTAACACTATCAAAAACAATACTGGGTCATCTCAAATTTCCCTCTGGTGTTTTACAGTACAACCCAATTTACACATGGGGGAATTTTTTGAATGAGTTAGAATTAGTGGTTTTCAGCATTTCCTGTGTTAGTAGGACTTTTTTCAATCACTCATGAAGTAAAGCAACAGTCACATCAACCACATAAAAACTCTTCTTATAACATCACAATGGGGACCCCCTGTGCCAGTGATAGACATCTGTTAATGCAACTCATAAATAAATTGAAGAAAAAGTATTCAACCAGACATTTTCTGTAGAAATAGATTTTACAGATTTCATGACTCAGGAAACACAAGTATGCAGAAAATATATAAGAATGTAGTTCCTACAATTATACAATTCATTCAGAAGATTTATTAGTCTAGCTTTGCCCAATTTTATTTTCCTTAACTTTCCTTTCTTTAAGTTGTTTACAGTCCAACATTCATGCAGAAAAGCCACAAAGCATTTTGTTATTTTCTATAAAGCTTATGTTCTGTCAGAAAGTACACAATGTGTCCTTACCAAAAGCCGCCATATCAACAGTTGCACAGGATGCTACATTCAACTATAAAGATGAAGAAACCCATAGGTATGCATTGAATGTAGATGTGAGAGATGATAAATTAACATGTTGACAAGCATAACTTTTACTGGTTACACTTCGGCATGAAGGTCATGTGGTTTCAAAGAGTCACGAGAAAACATGGCTTACTAGGCCAGTTATATTAAAAGTTTTCTGTTAATACGTAATGGTTTGCGTATTTGCAGCAATGTAACTTATATAAAAATAACGCAAAGCACAATTTAATAATTTCATAACGCCACTTTCAAAAGATTCTGTTACATTGCTTTGGTTCTAAACCTCACTCTCAATGAGTAAATTATTTGAGTTTATGCTCCTAGCTTTAATGTTAACATTGTAAACCATCAACTTATACTGAATCTGTTCTATGACTGCTTCAAATAATGACCAGAATTTTCAATATACAATGCCAGTGACAAAGATTCTAATTGGAAGCTCAAAAGTAGAAGTCTATCCCTCGTAAGTGCAATTAGCTCAATATTTAATGAATAAATTTCTCAGATAGTTGACTGTGTCTGACTAGCTAGAAGCTGTGCAGACCTAATACATAGATCTAACAACTGTTTTGCTATAATGAGGCACAGATCTCAAACGTGAGTTTAGTATGAGGCAGCAATGCAGTAAGCATGTGGGCTGAGATTGCTGCACTTTCAGAACTCATCCCACCATGATGGTGACCTTGGAAGGGCAAAAAATGAAGCACTTGGTTTGGGTAAACATGTGCACAGGAAAACCACAAAATGATAGAAAATCTTCTGTTCCATATTATATCTATGCTTTGTTATTCATCTTTGAGAGATTGTTTAAAAGTCAGTTTGCAGATAAAATCACATTCCTTCTGCCTCCTGACTACTTCCATAACCTCTTTGGAGACATATCAGGGAAGCAAATTGTTCTGTAAACAAGATTTTCTGAAGAAGGTTCTTGACCCAAAACATCAACTTTCCTGCTTCTCTGATGCTGCATGGCCTGCTGTGTTCCTTCAGCTCCACACTGTGTTATCTCTGACTCCAGCATTGGCAGCTGTTGCTATCTCTGTTCTGTAAACTGGCTGTTTGAAGGATGTGTCCAAGTTGGTCTTTTCATTTAGTGTACCTTTGTGAAATGTGTCTCACTCCTTTCCTTTTCCTTCAGTTATTGTCGGCCAGTGTTTTAAGGATAAAACTATAGGAAGTAGTAGCAGAAATAGGCCAGTCAGCCCTTTGAGTCTGTTCTGCTACTCAATAGGATCTTGGCAGATCCGATCATCCTCAACTCCACATTCCCCTCTTATTCCCATAACCCTTGATTTCCTTACCTATCAAGAGTCTGTCTATCTCAACCTTGAATATTCTTAATGATTCACCCTCAATAGCACTAAGCAGTAAAAAATTTCACAGATTCACTTCCCTACAAGCTTAGATTTTTTTCATACACTTCACTAACACCTTCCATCCCAACCTTAAGTTTACCTGGACCATCTCTAACACCTCTCTCCCCTTCCTGGACCTCTCTGTCTCCATATTGGGCAACCACCTAGAAACCGATATTCATTTCAAGCCCACCGACTCCCACAGCTACCTAGAATACTCCTCCTCCCACCCACCTTCCTGCAAAAATGCTATCCCCTATTCCCAATTCCTTCGCCTCCGCCGCATCTGCTCCCAGGATGAGGCATTCCACTCCCGTACATCTCAGTTGTCCTCGTTTTTCAAGGACCGTAACTTCCCCTCCTCGGTGGTCGAGAACGCCCTCAACCGTGTCTCCCACATCTCCCGCACCTCATCCCTCACACCCCGTCCACGCAATAAGAAACCAAAAAACAATCCCCCTAATCCCCCTCGTCCTCACGTACCACCCCACCAACCTCCGGATCCAACGCATCATCCTCCGACACTTCCGCCATCTGCAATCCGACCCCACCACCAAAGACATCTTTCCCTCCCCACC